ATTGTCATAACCTCAAACGACATTTTGATACTGTGTCGTTTAGATTTATTTTTAGATCAGCGAATAAGTTGGCTCATGCTTTAGCTAGGGCGGCTAATTCTCATTATGGTTCTCATTGTTGGTTCTCTTCTTTTCCAGCTAGCTTGTATTCAACACTTGATTAATAATAATTAATTTTCCGTTTGTTTTCAACAACAAAAATTAATGATTATACATAATGGAATGACCTATTTGACACTTTTTTCAAATTTATACATAAATTTGTACACTGTATTTGTAGGCTTTCCAGCAGGGCTCGCGTGCACATTTAAGGGACCGATTGGGCAGATTCGACGGCATTGATAGCCGAGAATTGCGGTAAATTACTTTCGTTAGCAAAACACTTCCATTTTCTATATTAATTAGGAATGTATTTTAGGGAGTTTGTTAGCGCCTAATCTGGGGTCTAATTAACCGGTGATTCGTGAAATTTAATGAGAATATTGCTTTCTTAATTTGGCCGAAAGCCTGGTGTATAAATACGTTGAACAAAAAAAAATCAAAACAAAAATTTTAAAGTACTAATTCAAACTTAAAAATTAAATTATCAAGAAGATAGAAAAGTGTAGGGAGTAATCAAATCTAATAATTATGTTTTAAAATATTTTAAACCAAACATTAATTATGATTTTGATTCTAATTCGTAATCTGTAAACCTATGAACTAAACACATCCTTAACAGGGCGTTTGGTTGGAGAGAGGTAATTACGTGGAAAAGGAATTGCAATTCCATGGGAGATGAATTACTGAGAATAAAGTGAAATTTAAATTCAAGTGTTTGGTTTACAGGAATAGAATTACTGGGAATTTCAATTCCAATGTTTGGTATATATGGGAATTGAAAGGGAATAAGTAGTATAAAGTCAAAAATATTCATTGTTGTTGTTAGGCATTAATTTTAGGTTAAAAAAGGAAGGGGTAATTTTAACTCATCACTATCTTTTTTTCTTCTTAAAATTCCAGGAATTAAAATCTCAGGGGGGCATGAGATTTTAATTCCATGAAAATGGGGGAAGTGCAATTCCTTTAAACAAAACAAAGAAATTTTGTGGCCTTTGAAATTAAGTGAGAATTAAATGGGAAGGGAATTTAAATTCCCTTCAACCAAACGTCCTATAAAAGTTTTATGAGTGGAAAATATATCATTAATATATGAGCGAAGATTAATAGGTTCGTTGGATTGACAAGTGTAAAATTGTCCTTCCCTGCCAATGTTCTTAATTGCCCAAGTTGGCTAGCTGGCTTTACGTACAAAATAAATAAACATGCCCAAGCTCAATAGTTATGGTATGTACCGTGGTCCACGCAGCTATGTGGACCACAACCTATAAACGACATCGTTTTGCGTAATTTTACTACTGGAAATTATGAAATTTTCGACCACTTGAAAGTGATCTTAAATCAAGTCGAAAGTAAAAAGTGGTCGGAAATAGCAACAAAGATTTTTCCGGATACCAAAAGTGGTCGGAACAAGGCTTTCAACTTGATTTTAGATCACTTTCAGGTGGTCGGAAATTCCTTAATTTTCAGCAGTATTTTGTTATGTGACCCGCTGTAATATATATTCATAATGTACATTATTCTAACACATAATGCATATTATCTTATCCCAGAAGTTTTACTATTCTAATACAAAATACATTATTCTAACAACATAATGTATATTATTCTAACACATAATGTACATTATCTTACCCCAAAAATTTCATTATTCTAACACATAATGTACATTATTTTAACACCTAATGTACATTATAATGTACATTTCATAAAATTGAACAACATCATTTTTTTACCATGGTTCACACAATAATTTGCCGCCAAGCTAAGGTAGAATATGTTCCTTTAGTAGGGTTAACTGTTTCCTAAAATGTGTCGAACCAAACAATAATATTGTGATCATGATTTATTAATTTAGTAGATACACACCGGTACGGTATTTATTGGTACACATTAATTAACTTTTATATACACACCGGAGTATTTTTCATCTTAGGATCTCGTTCTTATTTGAGAAGCATTTATATATCTTAATCGAATTCTAATAAAAGTTTTGATAGTCACATTTTATCTTGATTCGTTGAATAGTGAATAAAATTTTTCTCTCCAAACTTATCATCTTAGATATAACCTTTTAGCCCATCACAAACATCATAAGCTAGCTATGATATATAGCATCCACACAGCATTATCAATCGTTATGCTCTGGACCCGTGTCCAGCATGCATGCTGGACTTTTTTTTTTTTTTTTTTTTTTTTTTTTTTTTTAATTTCAGATTCGTTATAGGAGTATATGTTCATAATTTTATTACTATATGTTCATAATTGTAAGTTCATATGTCAGCGCTCTATGTTCATAATTCAATAACTGTACATTCATACTTCCATAACTGTACATTCATAATTCCGTAACTGTACATTCATAATTCAATAACTGTAAAACTTCATAATTTTCGAAGCTCTATGTTCACAATTTTAGATTTCTATGTTCATAATTTTATCACTATATGTTCATATTGTAAGTTCATAATGTCAGAGCTCTGTGTTCATAATTCCATAACTGTATATTCATAATTGCATAACGGTACATTCATAATTACATAACTGTACATTCATAATTCTGTAACTGTACATTCATAATTCAATAACTGTAAAATCATAATTTTCGAAGCTCCATGTTCACAATTTTAGAGCTCTATGTTCATAATTTTATCACTATATGTTCATAATTGTAAGTTAATAATGTCAGAATTCTATATTTATAATTTTATAACTTACATTCATAATGTCATAACTGTACATTCATAATGCTATAACTGTACATTCATAATCCCATAACTGTACATTCATAATGGCACAAACAAATAACGCCGTTAACGCCATTAACGGTGAGACAAAATCAAAAATTTATTTTTTTTAACTGGAATGACGCGTTTTTCTTAAAAACCACGTCGTTTTGGACTCACGGGTCCAGGGCATAATTTGCCCAGCATTAGCGAACAACATATATTCCAGGCTGGGGGATGCCATCTTCACGGCACCATAATTGGCATGATTTAGCTCAATCACGCACTGCATGCATGCACTGCTGTTTCTATCCATCCCCACCCCCCACCTAAAACAGACAATAACATTCATTAAATTTCGGCTCTTAACTAGGGTTCGGAGAAAGTAGGAATGGATAAGGTTGCTCTGAGCAACTCTCCACAAGAAAACTTTTACTCTATCTACTAGTACAAGGCAAAATCCAAAAGTTTGATTTTTTTTTTTTTTGGAATACATTAGTTTTCGTCAGCTTACGCAGTTACGCGGGCTTTGAGCAATGACCCACATGCCTTCGATGGGAATCGAACTGCTATATGTTGGAAATTTTATCTAAAATGATAATTTTGAATGGTTATTTTGGGGTGGGAATATATGTGGGGTTCACGTCTGATTTGGGTAAGATGAAAGTGGATTCACACTCTTCGTAGTGAAAAGAAAAAATTGATATATTATACACTTAAAATGGATAATAGGTGAATGAGAAATTGATTCTCAAATTAAACTTATTTGATAGAAGTCAAAAGTTGATTATTAAGCACCCTTCGGTGCTTTGTGATGTTACTCTTCGATGGTATTAGTGAATTAGCACTAATCGGTGCTAATTAAAGCAAAGAGCCGTTTGGTGCTTTATTTCACCATTAGTGCTTAATTAATTAAGAGTAATACAAGAAGTGCTTCTTTCATAGCACCTTTTTGGTGCTTTATATAGCACCTACGAGAGGTGCAATTCAAGATTTTAACCTTTTGGATGTGGCCAAAAGATTGTGACTTCTCGGTTAATTATGAAAGGTCCGATAAGTTAATTTACTTCTTGGACTGTATGTTGGCTACTCAGATGTTTTGAAACAAGTTATTAATGGGTTGGTACGAATTAATTGTATAATTAATTTCAAAATTATTGATATTTATTTTGATATTAAGTATGACCGTTTAAAACGTTATAATCCATTTATTAAATTGAATTTATCTGTCATACAAAATGCTAAGATTTATTACATCCCTTATATACACCTTGTGCATGGACAAAATTTTACAAGGCCGGATTGAAAAATCATTTTTCTATTCATACGTTGTCTTTCTTTCCCAAAATCCTCTGCTCATTCATATTCCTAAAAGTTTTTGTGTTCAAACCTTTATTCTAGTTTGTTGAAGGTGATGCTACAACGCTCCTAGCACCACCAAGAGGTAGCGAATCGATTTAAAAAAAAAAAAAATGTGTTTCTCACGACTTGGAACCCTTTTTCTTTCTTCTCATTTTTCTTGTTCGTTGGATTATTTTTGTTAGATTATAAATCCCTTTATATATATATATATATATATATATATTTTGTAAAATCAAATTATTCACCAAACATTATATTCTGTCACCAGAGTAAAACTTTCAAAATAACCCAAAATTTGCTTGTTTTATCAAACATGAATATTTTTTTTTGAATGCTACTGTCTCTATTACATTGTAGTATCTGTTCAAACATACTTTCTCAACCTAATGAAAGACACTTATATTTTATATATTATGTGCTCTATTATTCGGATTTATTCCAACCAATTATAAAGCTGCTTGATAATGCACGGGTCATAGTCATGCATGTGATTAAATAAACAGTATCACATTTATTGACTTATTTTTCATAATATTTCGATATGACACTTATTTTGACCATATATAGGATATATAATAATAAATCCACTCCAACGAACCATTATTTTACATTTATTTTTGAAAGGAAAATATCAATTCATTAAATCATCAACTAAAATATTCCTAATGGACAAAGCGGTGCATGAAGCCATTTTCCACAACTTGACTTAGAAAATGGCCCCCTAGCAACAGTATCATAACCAGCACGATTCGCAGATCGTTTGACAAACTAAAAATAAATATCAATAAAACTAAAGTAGAATGTAAAGCATAATAAATTTACTGAGCATCAGTTTCAACATCAAAATGATCAAAAATTATTTTACATTTATAATCACCATATATCACACTTATAACCAGGCCACTAGCGCACTATCATCATCAATCAATCAATACTATAATGAAAGGGGAAAGTGGGGAAAAAACAATCGAAATAAATAAGTAAAAGGCAGTAAATGCGTTTGGGGGTTCGATCCCCGATGTGAATGGAGCAAACCATTTGGCCAGTCCTTATCACTTAGTGCGCTGACCGTTGAGACCTTTCGGCTAGAGGGATATCTTTGGACAACCAAAAAAGGCAGTAAATGAAAATTTTGAAAGAGAGAAAATAAAATAAAATCATGAGACGCGATAGTCATCTGGAAGAGAAAAGCTGGCAGGATCTGCATTCTGAAGCCATCCATATTTGTCCAAGAAAGGGTTAATTAGGGTTTGTGGTGGGTAGCTATGAATGCAATCTTCCCAAACATTTGCATCTTCCAAATCTCGAACCACTTCCCACACACAACTGTTGCACTTAAACCCCGCCCCGAAGCTAATCATGAACACCTTATCCCCTTTCTTAAGCCTCTTCTTAGCTTCCATGTAGGCCAGCACGTACCAGAGGCTGCCGGCCGACGTGTTCCCGAATCTGTGCAGCGTCATTCTCGCCGGCTCCAAATCATATTCGCTCAGGTTGAGGCTCTGCCCTATGCCGTTGATCACCGCTTTCCCGCCGGTGTGGATGCAGAAGTGATCGATTCCAGTCTTGAAGTTGATGGCCGCCGGTTTTGAGGTGGTTCCGGGTTTTCCGGAGTTTGTCGGGAGTTTTTGGAGGAACGAGAGGGCGGCGTAGCGGATAAGCTCCCGGACGGGGAGGATTCTGGGCGCGATTTCTTTGAGGTTGTCGAAGAACGCCATGGTTGCGGCTTTTGGGAGGGTTTTTCCGAGGTGGAACCCGAGTTTCCCGAGTTCATCCTCCTTTTGTATGCAACAATTATAGGACTCATCTTTCCCGCCGTGGTGAGTTCTCACTAGGGTTTTCAGCTTGAACATGGCTTTATGCTTCACCGCCGGTTTGTTCGTTAAAAGTATAGCGCAGCCGCCGGACCGGAACAAACAGTTGGCGAGAATCATGGACCGGTCGTTCCCGGAATACCAGTTAGGACTCAGGCACTCCGAGGTTATAACCAAGGCCGACAGGTTTTCGCGAGTTTTAAAGATGTTTTCCACGATGTTAATAGATATGAGGCTCGCGCTACACCCCATGCCAGAGAGATTATAAACCTTAATGTCCTCTCTCATTTTGTACCCGTTGACAATCCGGGCCGATAACGACGGCACGGAAGCAAGCATGGAGACATTCACGACCAAAACATCAATCTCCGACGGACAAATCCCTTGCCTCTTCAACATCTTCCCAATGCTGTCGTGGAAAAACTCTTCCATCTCCGACACCCCATCCTCGTACGCCGGACACTCTTCCCGGCCCTGGAACACCATCCTCGGCCCGTACGTTTCCTCGCCGATCCCGGAGCTCACGATGGCCTTCAAAAGAAACTTATACTCGCTCAACCCAAGATTCTTGTTCCTGAAAACCACCTCCCCACTATGTTTCGTGCTCAGCATTCGATCATCCGTCGGTTTGTAGCACTGATAATCCAGAATGTAACACGCTCGGTTTGTCCTTCGATCCATCATCTTCTTCAGGGAGAAGAAGATACAGAGGAGAGGGAGAATGTAGATTACCAGAACGGAAATGGAATCCATGGGAAAACGAAGGAGAGAGGGATCTGAACTATATATTATTAATGCATTAAACCAAACCAAGAGAGAGAAGAAGGTTATTGTTGGATGGGTTTTGATGATAAAAATCTTAGTGGATTTATAAGGGGTACTTGTGTTACGATCGTCACTTTCGTGTGAAATTGCAATTTTGACTTTGGAAAAAGCCTGCTTGGCTGGCTAGTTGGCTCCATGCCTTAAAAGTTTCAGCTCTCAACTCCCACCAAGAATGGGTTGTAAATAATAATTAGACAAATGAAGGAGAATACATACCTAATTACCTATATGTATATATACTTGTAGTACAGATTAGGATAGTTGAACCTTATTATTCTTAACAAACTTAATTATTTAAGGTAGCAAGGCTAACCTAACAGACAACATATATAAGTTTGAATGTGAAAAGACATGTGACGATGATATACCAGATTATATGCATGGGGCATTATATATGCATTGATGCAACTTTGCAGGCGCTATTAAAGAGGGAGAAATCATAATAATGGTTGTACTATGTTCCAGTTACAGAATTGATGTATTTTGTGGGCAATCCCAACGTATGTACCAAGTTGGTTAGGCTGTTGATTTGGTAAGTATGGTTACAAGTTCAACTCCCTGTAAGAGCAACCTATTGACCTGGCTAATTTACCTTTATCTGACTTTTTTGTGGTCATTTGCCAGCTAGAGTTACAAGGCGGAATTTGTTAGCTGCATATTCTTGCATAGTGATTGTTGGTTTCCCGTCACCGAAAAAGAAGAATGGATGGTATTTTGAGGTTGGGGGCATTTAAGAACCGTGAAGGGAGGTAGATGGAAATCTAGAACATAAATTTATTGAGGATAGCCAAAAACAGGCACACACTGTAAAGGTTATACGAGTCTGTGTGTATATATGACTTTAATTATTGTTTTGAGCTGTTAGTTAGCTAGGCTTGGTATATAGGCGCCCATTGGAATTCATCCCAAAGAAATTAAGCATTATATATGCTCTTCAATATATACAAGATTATAGCTATATATATATATATTATAGGTGCACTTATAGGTGAAAATATGTGCACCCAATTAATAAATGCAGATAAAAACTACATGCACTTGTAGGCGAAAGTAGGTGCACGGTGAAAGTAAGTGCATCCGATCAATGAATGTTGACACGTGACGCGCACTGATTGGTTCGCATTTCTCTCCTAGGCACTTATTCGCCCTTGAACGCGACCCTATATATATATATATATATATATATATATATATATATATATATATATATATATATATATATATATATATACTGATTGGATCCTGGCTGATAGGGATGGCAATCAGGGGGGACGTACATTTTCCATTTTCGAAACCCTCCCTCATTCAATTCCTAGCCCTCGTTAGGGAAAGGAAATCCTTCATTATCAGTGACCGTGGAGAATTTTTGGAGGTAGAATCCAGTCCCCAATCAACTCATTATAATCAAATTACCCTTCCCAAAATGTCTTGGACTCAGTTTGAATCTCTGTATTAACTGATGAAAAGATAATAATGTGGTCCATATGTTACTTAGAGCTTTTCAAAAAATAATCAACTTGCACATGGATAGTGATGGGGATAAGGGTTTTGGATCCGGAAGAGTGAACATAGCATAGAGTAATGAGGGCAATTAGGGGAGAGTTAATGGCAATGATGAGGCCAACCGTTGAGGAAGGCGGTTCGACGCGGAAGAAACAAGAGAGAGTAAAGGCGATCTCATGATTATGGTATTTATAGCTTCATTTGTGGTGTTTATAAAACATTAATCGTTTCACTCTTCTTGTATATGTATAAAAGACCTGAGAAGCTTGATCAGTAAAAAAAAAGGTTGAGCAATTTGAATATACAAAGTTAATAAGTACACAACTACAACAACTAACACTGTACAAAGTACATGCATTCATTCATTGTATCATCATTACATGCACATGCAAAAAATGCAATGGAAATGGATAAATATTGACGTATATGTTTAAACGATTGCACATAGTAGTGCACATCAATGCACACACCAATACACAAAGATGTTATTGTTTGCATTCATACCATGAATAAAATTCCTATAAATATGGTGTTGATATTTTATCTATTTAAATTCTTTTAAACATCCTATATTAGTTTACTATTTCACCCCATTTATTTATTTTAAGTAATTCTCAACTTGAACTCTTATCAAGTCATAGCCATTAAAAAATTTTAAATTGATGCCCATGATTTAATCTCACAATCTCACCTAAAAAGGTGATCTCATATGATCATATATATATATATATATATATATATATATATATATATATATATATATATATATATATATATATATCACACACACAAGTTAGTTAGTTCACATTATTATAATAATTATTATTATACTTGTTGGTTTTAGGACTTTTGGCAGTCCACGGGTCCAACACAATCGGTAGATTGGTGAATTCACTGAAAAACTAAAGGTGTAAAGATTGATAATATATATATATATATATATATATATATATATATATATATATATATATATATATATATATATATATATATATATATATATATACACCCACACACACACAAGTTAGTTCACATTATTATAATAATTATTATTATACTTGTTGGTTTTAGGATTTTTGGCAGTCCACGGGGGTCCAACACAACCGGTAGATTGGTGAATTCACTGAAAAACTAAAGGTGTAAAGGTTGATAATTTATGCTGCTAGAAGTAGAATATAAAAATAGATATAGAAAGAATATGAAACGAGGATTTTTACGTGGAAATCGAAAGAAAAACCACGAGCCTTTTTGGGCGGTGCAAAGCCTAAATTCACTATTTTTGTAGGCGTTTTGGTACATGATATTTGTATAGAGTGTATGATATAGGAATGTAGTTGTCTCTCTTTCTTTCATGTAATGGAACTTCTCTTCTAATACAATGGAACCTTAGTGAGAGTGGAAGAGTGATGTGGGAGAGAGAGTCTTCCCATGTAGGAGTGGAAGAGTGATTGAGTGATAGGGAAGAGTGACCTCTTATGTGAGGAAGAATGATCCCCCACTTTTTGTTCTTCATCCTTCTTTTATAACAATAAGAAGTGTACGTTGGGTTTCAAAAAAAAAAAAAAAGAAAAAGAAAAGAAGTGTACGTTGGGTGACTTGTCAATAGGGACATAATGAGCCATTTAATAAGGTAGTAAATAGGATGGATAACAAAAGATAGTAAATAGGTAATTAATAGGTACTGTAATTGGTGGTGATAATGGGCAGTTATGGGTAGTTATGGGTATTTAGTGGGTGTTTATGTTTAGATAATAAGGGAAGTTAATGGGTGATAAATAAAATAAAGGCTACTTATATTTGAAGCTTTATGGGATAATAAAGAAGTATTTATTTCGGGGTTTTGGTGGTCGACCGGGTTTAAGTGGTTTAACTGGCTTGGGGCTAGGCGGTTTAACCGTGTTCAAATATTGGGTATCTATTAATACTGTACAATTGTTTATTATTGGAGAAAAAAAAAATTCTACCCTGGCGGCTCAAATCGATTTGTACATGCATATCCATTTCAACTCCTAACTAAATCATTGGTTTTAATTACCCCACTTGGCTATTTTTTATTATTATTTTTTAATTTAGGTAATTCCGCCCCGCCACTAGAGTCAAAGGCACTACGGAGGTAAATCACGAGTAATCGCGCAATCAACTTACCGGTCAGATCCTAGTCTTCCTGTGCGCATGCACAAGTGATCCAATACAAACCTTCCAACATCCTTGGACCTTTTTCCCATACATGTTTCCAGTGAGATTCGAACCCTCACACTACCGCCTCCAGTCATGACGTTTAAGTCAAGTGACGAACCAACTATATGCTAATTCTTCGGGGCCCCACTTGGCTACTCTTGTCCAAGGAGGTCAAAGACTTCAAATTTTATATGTATTAGAAATCGTTGTAACACAATACAATATTACAATTATTAGTATAAAATCAACCATTGATCAGTCTGACACTTAACTCCCACTCGAGGAGGCCAGTTCCATGATTTACCATAGCTTCCACACCCGTCTTCAAGATAGAAACAATGAAGATCCTCAAGTTTGGAGTTTAAAGTTAAGAAAACAAATAGTTATTGCTAGGAAAACATGGCATGCAATTGGTGACTCCCTCTAAGACTAGCTCTGAAAATGATTTTTGGTAAGGGGTTCTAACTTTCAGTAATACCATAAACTTATTAATTTGAACTTGTTTCGACTGACATGAGCATCGAGTGACATGAGCATCTTGTGTTAATTATTGGACCAACACTTCGATCTATATTCAATATTTAAGCCATCAACTTTATATACACTATAATTCTAACAAATTGTTTTAATTGAACCCTTAGGATATGATTTTAAAACACCAACAAAAATACCAAGTGGCTTGTGGTCTACGGGTATCTAGTTGTTCCTTTAAGTGGAAGGTGAAAGATTCGAACCTCAATTTTGAGGCAAGTAGTTTGTATATAGAGTATCCCCTTTCTTATAATAATTTAAAAAAAAAAACAAAAAAAAAAAAAAAACACCCCAACAAAAATATAATAAGATAGATTACTATATAATAATTGCTATTCTTTTTTTTTTTTTTAGGTAAAGAATTAAATGCCGAGTATAATGTAGCTAGAGGCCATGTGGAATTATGACGGGCATCCAGTTCAACACTTGTGTTGCCCCGATAGATATATTATCTAATTTGTCTTTATTTAAAACAAATTGTGTTTTCTAGCAAGAATTGAAAAATGTCAAATAATCATGTTTTCTAACAAGAAAAATCTGTTGATGTGCGCATGGGTTTAGCTCATTGATTCAGTATGCAGTATTTGAGATAAGAGATCAAGATTCAAACCTCGAGAGTGACAATGTGGAGATTTCTCTTAAAGTGGATAGATTCCTTGTGAGTATCGACATTTGACTCTATCTGCTGAGCCATTAGGTCACCGTAATTTACATCTTCCCAAATACTCTATCAGACCGGGATACGGGAGCCCTTGGTGTTTGGAAATTCAACTTTTTCGGAGAAGAAAAATGTGTTGATTATTCAACCTTCTTTGTTTCCTAAGTCTTTAAACTTAGTCACGTCAAAGATGGATGTTAAAAGATTTTTAAAAATGTGGTAAAAAGAAGTATTTTAAATCACCTTAATTAGATTATGCGTAGGACTAAATACTAATAACTAA